TTCATGCACTGGTGTTTGTGATAGCAAAAAGTTGAAAATAACAGATATTCATCAACTGGAACAAGGAATTGCTATCCACTCAAACAGTGGAATTCAATATTGTAAATTGTACATTGGATGAAAAATTAGACTCTGTAGCCAAACTGCCTAAGTTGATTCTCAGCTCTGGCTGTGCCACTTTTTAGTGATGTTCTTATGGGCAAGTTACTTAATTTCTTTGTGCCTCAGTTTCCTTGCCTTTAAGTGGGAAAAAAGCCAGTCTTAATGGCCTTTGCAAGTCAGAGATTTGGAGAACCTGAGGCAGGAGAATCACTTGAACCTGTGAGTTTGAGACCAGCCTGAGCAATACAATAAGAAGTTCATCTCAAAAGGGGGATAAGGCAGGGGAGTGATTGTATTTATCTCTGCCCATCATAAAATTGCTGTGGGAATTAAGAGTTGATAAATATTTGGGGGCCGGGGATTTAGCTCAGTGGTGTCAACACCTGCCTCACAAGCACAAGACCCTGAGTTCAATCCCTGGTACAAAAAAAAAAAAGTTAAATATTCATAGTGAAGAAATCCCCAGCAATTTAGATAGTGAATCTGTGTATTCTTCATTATTCTTTAATTTATGAAATGAGTCCAGCCTGCTAACTTTTCCTCCTGAAATTGGAAACTTTGGCCTGGGGAGCAAACATATCTGGCCAGACAGGATTCAGACAGGGTCTTCATACTGACATTCTTAACCTTTTGCCCTTGACCATCTCATCTGGTCCCTCAGATGATTTGTGTCCATTTATTTGGATTTGAATCTGGCCTGCTGTTTGGTGAGCCCCATGAGTTTATTCTCCGCATCCTGTCCCATGCTGGGTTTCCTTTGAACGCTTTGGAAAATTAGTGGCATTGCTTAATCTAGTACTTTCAGAGCTTTTTTTTTTTTTTTTTCTTTTTTTAGATAAAGGAGGAAGTCAACACATTCTTAAAAGTCTCATAAAATTGCATGGCAAAATATCACTTGTTTCTTTAGGCCAGAATCATAAAAATCATTATGAAATATAAAGTAAATATTGTTGCCAGAATTGGAGGGAGAGATGTCATTTGACAACAGCATTCCCTACCACTACCCTTAATATAGATTGAATCTCTTCTTTGTGCAAAATGAAAGGTCAGGAAACTAGCATATGGACCAGCTTGAGAAACCATTTTGAAAAATTCTTGTTTCTGACCAGAGAAGTAATTAAAGTCATGAGATAGTTTTATCCACAAGTGATTATTTTCTGTTTACTGAAACTGCTGCTATTATCACAGGTTATGCTGTATCTGAAACCCTAAAATGTCTCATTACATCTTTTTCTCCATAATTATATTGCAGTTTCATTTTTATATACAGTATAACAGGAAACCTTATTTCTGTCCCCTTCTCACCTTCCTAGCTTGCTGCGTGACCTCACCCAAGTCCATTCTTTTATAGCACCTCAAATGAACAATGAAGACATGCATTGTTTGCCTTACCTTACCACCCCCATAATAGCCAACCAGACAACAAAGCTCCATTTTTGCAATTTCTGCGTAAAGCTGTGATGAAATCTAGGCAGAACAAGATGCTACTGCCCTCTGCCGGTTCTGAGAACACACCTGCCCATGAATGCGGTGGTCCTACTCATCCTAACAGAGGTACACAGTACTTCTTGTTCACAACTGAGCACATATTAGGAAACCAGAAAGAAAAGGCAAATTTCGTGTCTGAAAAATAATATTTTAAATGTTTGTGAATTAACAACTTCTTACATATATTTCAGATATCGTAGCCACTAGATTTATACTGTCCTTGCTATAATTCTTTTTTTTTTTTTTTGGTTTTTTGAGACCGGGTCTCACTACATAGTTGAGACTGCCCTGGAACTCATTATGTAGCTCCGGCTGGTCTCGAACTCACAGTGATCCTCCTGCCTCTGCCTCCCAAGTGCTGGGATTACAGGCGTGCGCCACCACACCCAGCCTCCTTGCTATAATAAACTAATAAACAGATTCTGACCCTGTGAACCATTGTCACCTTGTTTTGTTTGTTGTTGTTGTTGTTGTTGTTTTGTGGTAATGGGGATTGAACTCAGGTCCTTGTATAGCAAGGCAGGCAGCAGAACCACTGAGCCAAATCCCCAGCCCTTTGTATAATTTTTCTACACTGGAATACATGCAGCCCCTTTTTGTAGAGAAGTTTTTATATATTTTAGTTTGCTAATAAACAGGAAGATAACTGGTATGTGTCAAGGAGAAGGAACATGCAGCATCATTGAGAATGGTAAAGCAGAAAGTCAGCTTCATTACACCCTCTCAAATTTTAATAAGGGATTGTGCTCGCTTGGCAGCACATAGACTAAAATTTTAATAAGAGATTTATAATTAATTGGCTTTTTCGGTGTATAGATTATTCTGAAAATGCTTTGTGAGAAACTGATAAAGATTTATTAAGACCTCATCTATATTAATAACTTCAGGACTCTAAAATTTTGAGAACTGCTGTTTATTACATTTGCTCTGCGTTTATAACATGTGATACCATCTCTGACTATACTCGTGGGAAAGTCATTTGAGAGGTATGCCTTTATTTGAATTTTTTGCCTCTAAAATATCTTTCAAACTAGGCCTGTGTCATGCTGCTGAAGTAATTATTGCACCTTAAAATGAAGGACTAAACGGTGAAAGAGGACCAAGGTGTAATCCACATCCCAACTATCTTTATGCAGAGTATAGAACAACTGAGTCACAGTTTATGTGGCTTCTGCTCATATTTTCTCATAAATAAATAGTAACTATATGTCTTTTTTGTGTGTACCGGGGATCGAACCCAGGTCCTTGCGTTTGTGAGCGGAACCGCTGAGCTAATCCCCAGCCCTAGTAGCTATATGTCTTAAATGAGCAGAAAGACAATTTGAAGACCAGCAGTGAATCTTGTGTACCTTCATTCAGGGAACTCCTCCTTTTTGCTTCTAGGTCAGTGAGGTCGAACCTTTTAGAGCTTTAAATGATACAAACAGCCCACTGTGGCTCATGTGCCATAGTTTCACCACCACTGTGATAGATCATCCCTAATTTGTAGACACCTAATAGGAAGAATTGGGGTCATAGCCAGTTACTCAGCAGCAGTACCCAGTCCTGTCTTGAAAGAGACTTATACTTACGTATGCCATTCCGTACATAGAGATTCTTTTTTTTTTTTTTTGGTACTGGAAATCGAACTCGGGTCGTTGTGCTTACGAGGCAAGCGGCGGCATCACTGAGCTAAATCTCCAGCCCACATAGAGATTCTTATAGGCAAAAATCATAGCTACCTTTCTCCTAGAAAGTAATACATTTCATGGTATGCCTGGTGCCTGTTTTAGCTTAAGGCTTAGTATGCTCTGGAAATTAGCATGTATTGACTATATAATTTCTATTGAGTATCTTGTACAGCTGTTACATGTCCATAAGAAATGAACTGACTGTTGCATAATTGTTATGTGTATAATCTTAGTAATAATTTGAGTGTCTGATATTTCAAGAAAATTCAGCTTACTAAATTTTTTCAAAAGAAAATTTACCAGTAACTTTAGTTCTACACACACACACAAACAGACAAACTCAAATCCAAAGAATAAGATGGACTGAAAAAACGGTCTATTGAAAATGTTACCTGCTATTTTCTGAGAAATAGTGAATTGAAATTTTTTTAATCAATCTTAATTTTAGAGATAAAAGCGGTGGTTGTGAAAAATGACTCAAGTCAACTGAAATTTGGCAATATAGTTTATCTCTAAAAATTTTAAATTCAGCGTTATATAAAGTCTAATCAGAGGTTTCATGGCAAAATAAATAGTAACTTTTGAGAGACAAAATCCTAAGGGTATGGGGGACACAACAGTGCTAATGAGTAATTTATTTTCTGATTTTCTTTCAATTCTCTTTGGAGGACAAAATAGCAGAGGCTTTGGAACCAAGGAACCTTTGAATCTGAAACCCATTTCCACCACTTGTGTAATTATTATATGGCCTTAGGCAATCTCTTAAACCTCCACAAACTTCTATTTTCTCTTCCTTAAATTTTAAGATGATAATGTTCATAAGACTTTAGTATTAAATTATATATACAAAGATATACATGAAGTACCTACCAAGTACCTACAATTAGTTTTCCTTCCCTCTGTTAATTACCTTTTAAGATTACTCTTGGGGCCGGGGATGTAGCTCAGTGGTTCCGGTGCCTGCCTCACAAGCACAAGGACCTGAGTTCGATCCCTGGTACAAAAATTAAAAAGATTACCTCTTAACTCTGAAACCCACCAGAAAGTAAGAAGGAGGATTTGGTTTATGCCCAGATTTGGTTACCAGAACATGTTTAAGCCCAGGAAAGTCTTCCTGAATGTATGTGAAAGTAGCCCTGGGGGAAAGGTAACAGGCTATCAGTGGTGGCAAACCTGCGGCACATGTGCTACAGCAGGCTGTTTGTATCATTGAAAGCTCTAAAATGTTCACCATCGCTGGGCTAGGTTGAGTAGTAGGTCAGGCATAATTCCCTGAGCCATAAACTCAAGGTTTGCCCTTTATTCTATTTATAAACCCAAACTGTGGCTTCACTGACATTGCACTTGGTGCCATTTTTTTAAAGTGTACTTTAAAATGAAATGAAATAAATTATTAGAAGTTTTATGTTTAGGTTTAAATGAATTTTATTATATGTGTAATTATAGTAACGTACAATGCCTACTCTGTATGCAGTACAGTGCTAGGTACTTTTCATATATTCTCTAGTTCATAAAGTCTTTCTGATTCATAAGAAGTTGTTAAAATGCCCATTTTGATAAAGCAACTAAGACACTAAATAACAGCAGGCCTAAGGTTGCCAGTTAAAAATGAGTAAGATGCTCATTGCTAAGCCTTTAGAGAAATCCTTTAATCACCTCTGTCCTTAACTGTGGTGCCTTTGACCTTCTGAACTGCCATAACTGCCAGTCCCGTGGTGATAGATATTTGTGTTCTCACAGAAACTTGCTCCTGGAGTCAGCCAGTTTGCTTACACCTGTGTACAGGACCACCCCATTTGGACAAATCAGCAGTTTTGGGAGACAACTTTTTACAATGCAGTGCAGGAACAAGTCCGCTCCCTTTATCTTTCAACAAAGGAAGACAATCATGTCCCACACCTGAAGCAAAAGGTAAGAGAAAAGGAGAAAGGTACTTGTCTGAGCTGGGATTCTTCTAATTATAAGGAAAGCTTTTGCAACTATTCGCAGGACAAAGGGAAATCTAGTCCTTTGTACTAGTGTATTTGAGTTTGGTTTAGGGAACCCGGTGGTAAGCATTTTTCTTCTGTTGCTTTATGACAGTATATTTTTTCATAACTTCTTAATATAGTTCATTAGTACTAGAATTATTATATTTTAATAAATAACAATTCCTGGGAAACAATTATAGAAAATAACAGAAAGAACAGACCTAAAAATATAACTAGGCATAAGTATAACACAACTTAGTTCCTTGAAGAAATGTCAGATTTCAAGTTAATTGACTCTAGGGGTGAAGATGATACAGGCTCACTGCACTAGAGCACTTGCCTGGCTTATGCAAGGCCCTGAGTTAAAGACAGTAAGTGACTTCAAAATAAAAATAAAATTTGATAGATCTTCTCAAAAGTATGCAGACAGTAGATATAGGTCTTTCTGTTTCTGTATATTTTAATTGTATATATTTTTAAAGATATTTAAAATCAAAAGAATTACCCTTAGTTTAAAATATCCTAAAATATTAAAATGTTATTTATTAACTGATCTTAGACATGTCATGTTACCTCTCTGTGCTCTATTTCCTCATTGATAAATAATGAATAGAGAAGATTACTGTAAGATTTTAATGTCTCACATGTAAAACTCATTGTAGCATACCTGGCAAATAGTAAATAAAAATTGTTAAAAATTATTGTCCTTGTGAATTGAATTTAAAGTGCCCTAAAAGACTAATTATTGTTGTTGCTTCACTTTATTTTTTTTATTTTTTCCTCACTGAGTTTATTGGTACATTTTAGGTATATAGTACAGTTACATTCATTATTGGGATCTTGTACCTTTACATGACAGGTCTTGCTTCTCATTTTTTCCCCTTGTCCCTGCCCTCCCTTCACCCCCCCTCCTTCCCCCTTTACAAAGACTTCATTTCCATTTCTTCCTTTTCTCATATTTTTTTTCTTTTGTTGCTTCACTTTAATTTTTAATTCTGTGTGCTAGAAGAATACATCACTGAAAATCCTTTTCATCTTTCATTTTAAATTGTTTTATGTAAGATAAATGATCCAAGGTGTCTAACAAATTACATATTAGCATTCAAATATTTCTATGCCTCATTTTTTGTTTTGTTGGGAGGGTTGTTTTTGTTTTAAAGAGGAAGGCGTTTATTTGGCTTAAAGTTCATAGGGGTTTCAGTCCATAATCAGCCAGCTGCAGGGCAGGGATGACAAACAGGCTTGGAAGAGCAGAAACAACATGGTACACACAAGGTAGAAAAGGTAAAAATAGTTAACAGTATCTTCCGCTTTTATCTTACTCAAACTACTTAGGTCAGTAGCACTCACACCTTTAATCCCAGTGCCCTTGAGCCTAGCATTGCATCATGAACCAATTCCAGCTTCACACACTCTAGCTCAAGTCTATGACTACATGAGGCTTTGGGGGAACATTGAGGTCCAAACTATAACATTCCACCCCTGACCCCAAAAAGACTCATGTACATTCCTTTACACAAAAGGCATTTAGTCCATCTCTAAGAGTTGCCAAAGTCAGTTTTAGCATTGCTGAAAAGTCCAAGTCCCAAGTATCCTCTGAGATATAAGTCAAACTTAGCTGCAAGCCCCTGTACAAATGAAAGAAAGTTAAACAATTCCAACATTCAGTGGTGCAAGATAGACATTATCATTCCAAAAGATCCAAGTCCCGTATCCTCTGAGATATAAGTCAAACTTAGCTGCAAGCCCCTGTACAAATGAAAGAAAGTTAAACAATTCCAACATTCAGTGGTGCAAGATAGACATTATCATTCCAAAAGGTACAAACAGAAGGATACAAAGGAATAGGACCAAAGTAAGTCCAAAATCCATCAGGCCAAACATTACATTCCACAATTCCACTTCCAGCATCTGAGGCAATCTGTGGCAAGTTATGAACTCCAAAGGGCTTGGGTGGCTCTGCCCCTGTGGCACTTCTGGTGGTTGTAGTTTCCGTGACTTCTCTCTGGGGCTGGCTCTGCTTCTTTGAAGTTTTCCTCAGGCAATCTACACTCCTGGCTTCTCCAAACTTCTGGGGTCTCAGTGCCCCTTCAGTATCACACTCACAGCTTCGCAGACCTTCTGAAATCTGGGTGGAAGCCTCCTTGACCCCACAACTCTTGCATTCTGCATGCAGCTAAAACCACTGCTGCATGGATGATGCCAAGGTCTGCTGCCAGCTAGAGCAGTAGTAGCCAGTCTTTCCTCTCTCTTGGCTGTAGGGTTCCAGTGCCTATATGAACTAAATCCTGAGGAAAAACTTCCCTAAATTACCATTTTGGAACAACTTCCCTAGGCCGCCACCATTCTGAGACATTGTGCTCTGGCGCTTTCTTCTCAAAGCAAAATCTTTTACCTTTACAACTCTGAAGCTGCAAAGGGTAGAGTCCTGCTGCTTATTTTTATGCCCTCAGGCCATCTTTTCTATTTTCCTATTCCTTCTCAGCAATCAAGTTCTCCTCTGCCCTATCTTTGCAGTCCACAGTTTTACTGGAGCTTCCTTTCTTGCCAACCTCAAAACATTTTAAATCATTCTGCTGGGCTCTTTGCTCTTGATTCTCAGCATAGATCTGGCTAAAAGCTCACAACAGTAGCCATGCTACCACCTCAATATTGGACTTCCTTGAAATTTCTTTTGCAAGATTAGTCCACTACCCTTAATCTCAGTCTCAGGCAAAGTCTCTGGACATGAACAAAATGCAGACAAACTTTCTGCCATACCGTAACACACATCATCTGAAGTCCAACAGCCAGTGCAGTCAGTCCTTCTTCCTAGCAGAAACCTTCCCAGCCTGGTCTTTATAACCTTTCTGGTCTTCTGATCTCTGACCAGAATCTCTCACACAGAGCAACCTAAGGCATTCCAGCCCTGCTTCTTCAGCTGGTAGCTCCGAATCTTCCAGCAAAGTCTCTGAACACAAGCAAAATTCAGACAAGCTTTCTGTCAAGTCATAACAAACATCTGGAGCCCAGCAGCAGAAATGTCCTGAGCCTGGTCTCTACTGGCTTTCTGGTCTTCTGAGCTCTGACCGGACTCTCCCATGCAGAACAACCTAAGGTGTTTCAGAGCTGCTTCTGTAGCCAACATCTCTGGATCTTTCCTAACTCTTCTCCTTCCCACAAGCCAGTTCCAAAGGCTTTTGAACCACATAACCAGGTAATGTCTCAACAATGACCCCACTTTTCTGGTACCAAATTTCTGTGTTAGTTACTATTGTCTCATTGCTGAGACAAAATACCAGACACCCAAAGTTAAAGAGGGAGGGGTTTATTTGACTTATAGTTCATAGCTGTTTCAGTCCATAATCAGCCAACTCCAGGGCAGGGACAACAAACATGCTTGGCAGAGCAGAAACAACATGGTACACACAAAGCAGCAAAGATAACAAGAGCTAGGAGGTATTTTTGGTACCAGAGATTAAACTCAGTACTTTGTGCTTGCGAGGCAGACATATTGTCACTGAGCTAAATTCCTGGCCCTATGCCTCGTGTTATTTTAAACATATTTTTTTAATTTTTTTATTTTTGGTTTTTTGAGACAGGGTCTCACTATGTAGTTGAGACTGACCTGGAACTCACTATGTAGCCCAGGCTGCTCTGGAACTCACAGCGGTCCTCCTGCCTCAGCCTCCCGAGTGCTGGGATTACAGGCATGCGCCACCACACCCGGCTTTTAAACATATTATTGAATATGATAAGAACAGGAACTTTAATAACAAATAACACCAACATCTGTCCAGTATTCCAAATTGTTACTGTACCAACAAGCATAAGTTGTTTGCTTAACTTAAAATTCTGATTTTTTTTTTAATACACCAGATACACTTGACTAAAGGGTTAACTTGTAGCAGATGCAAAAACTGTTAGATTGAGGTCATACTGCAAAAGTAATCATGCTGTTGGGGTATTTTTTATAGTTTCTTAAGAAATTATAATGCTAATACCCATATGTCTCATAAGCATTCATAAAACAACCTTGTGACTTCTGTGTCCTCCATTCTAAAGAAGTCTGTCTCTTAGCCCTAGGTTAGATACAAGTAGGACCATAGATATTCCAGCTCTTCACATGTTGTAAAGTACTATGCAAATTAGGGTTGCTGTTGTTATCGTTTATCTCTTCAACTAATTCAAAAACCTCTTTAAAATCCTATAATCATCTCCATAATCCTGTTTATGATGTTTGACTCCAGCATTTCTAAAGGAATCCAGTTATATTTTTGTGACCTTGTTTATTCCATCTCTTTTGTCAAAGAACTGAAGAGAAGAAAAAGTATTAGCAAATGCTACTGAAACATTCATATATGGGCATTTATATGAACTTTAGGTCACAATTTATCACAACCAATAACTTTGAAGGGATGGGGGATGGAGCCATATAGATAAAGTGAAATGTTAGCAACAGAGAAAGGTATCCATATTTGTTTTGTTACTATTTCCCTGGTTTTGTCACATGGTTCTACTGAAAACCTAGTGGGGGGGTAGGTTTTTGTCTCATGGCAGTTGTTAGATTTTTTTTATGTGTTTTCATTTCTCGTGATATAGGTACTTAATATTTTCGTGATTTTCAAGATAATCAATTTTCTTGATTTCTGACATATTTTCCCTAAAAATAGTATTTCTAAGAATATTCCTAAGAGAAAACCTATATTTTAGAAATCATTTGTGTACTTCGAAGCTTATTTGAAGTGATGGGTGCTCTCCTTTGGCTTGCATTGCCTTTTTTTCAGGATAAACTTCCTGATGACCAGTATCAAGAGAAGACGGCCATGGACCTAGCAGCCGAGCAGCTGCGCCTTTGGCCCACTCTGAGCAAATCAACTCAGCAAGAACTGGTGCAGCGCGAGGAAAGCATTGTCTTCAGTCAGGCCATTCACTTTGCAAATCTCATGGTCAACCTGCTGGTTCCACTAGACACAAGTAAAAACAAGCTCCTGAGAGCATCAGCACCAGGTGACTGGGAGAGTGGAAGCAACAGCATTGTCACAAACAGGTACTGAAATGTGGGTACATGAGATGCTCCTCCTACTGTTCTAGGGTTAGCGTTTTGGCTTACCAGAAAATGCAAGAATTTTGGGGGATAAAATGCTGTATATATTTCACAAATTAGCTATATTCCCCATCTTGAGATTTACACAGCTCTTCTGTTTTAAAAGTATTCACTTCATCCTGCTCCTCTTTTGGTTTTTGAGACAGGGTCTCACTATGTAGTTGAGACTGACCTGGAACTCACTGTGTAGCCCAGGCTGGTCTGGAACTCACAGCGATCCTCCTGCCTCAGCTTCCCGAGTGCTGGGACTACAGGGGTGCGCCACCACACCCGGCTTCATCCTGCTATTCTTAATCTCTTCCCAAATTCTTTTCTTTTTTATGACCTATTTCTCCAGAAACTACTACTAATTCAGCCCTTAAGTCACATTCTGCTTAAGCTGTTTAATATATGTGCTCTGCTTAACAGTTTAAAGAAAGCGTTCTGAAAAACTACAGTGACTTCTGTCTTGCCAGTGTTTCCTGCTCCTCCTTTACCTCAGTTTATTTTTGGAATTTGCCTAATCATATCTTCATCTTGCCTTCTGCTCTGTCCTCCAGTGACTTCCAATACCTTTGAGAATACAATCCAAAGGCTTTACCATGCCCCACAAATCCCACCATGATCTGTAGCCTGGCTGTAGCTCTGACATCGTTTCAGCCAGCATATTCTGTCTGCTCATGCCAGTCCTCAAATACCCCAAGCATAGTCCTGCCTCAGGGCCTTTGTATTTGTTATTTCCTCAATCTGGAATATTCGCTGAAATACTCACAAGAATCACTCCCTTATTTCATTTAGGGTTTTATATTATTATTTATTTTTATTTATTTATTTATTTTATTTATTTTTTTGGTACCGGGAATTGAACTCGGGTCCTTGCGCTTGCAAGGCAGGCCACCGAACCGCTGAGCTAAATCCCCAGCCCATATTTATTTTTATTTTAAAACAGTTTTTAATTAATTTTTGACCTATTTTAGATACACATAATGATAACTTTCATCAAATGGAATTTACACCTGTATATCATATATCTTTTTTTTTTAACGGTATGAGGATCAAACTCTGGACCTTGCACTTGTGAGGCAGGTGTGGCACCTCTGAGCTAAATCCCTGATGATATGACTTCTCTCTTCTTTTCTTCTCATTTCCCTCCCCTCCCAGCAGTCCCTCTTCTCTTCCTTTTTTACAAAAGCTTTGTTTCCACTTTTATACTCTATTCCCTTTTCTCCTTTCCGCTTCCTTCTTTTCTCCCTCCCATTTGAACATTTTCTCCTTCTTTTACATTATCAACTATACATTTTGATCCTCATTTACCATTTTGGTTTCTCACACCATAGACATGTGATATTTGAATATGTGTATCTGATTTATTTCACATAAGAGTATGGTGTCGAGGTGCATCCATTTACCAAGAAATGTCTCAAGTTTATCCTTCTTTATGGCTGAGTAGTACTCCATTGTATTAACTAAAAACACGCCTTCTTTATCCATTCATCAGTTGATGGGCATTGAGGTTGTTTTCAAGATTTAGCTATTACAAACTGTGACATTACACATCGCTGTGAGCATGCATGTATCACTGTGGTATGATGCTTTTAATTCTTGCAGGAAGATGCCAGGAAAAGGGAGATAGCTGGGTCAAATGGAACCTCTAGTTTTAGTTTTTTGAGGAATCTCCACATTGATTTCCATAGTGGTTACACCACAGTGGTCCACCAATAGAGGAGAAGCGTTCCTTTTCCCCACAGCCCCTCTGGCATTTGTTAATTGGTTGATTTCTTGGTGTAGCCATTCTTTCTGGAGTCTCATTGTTGTTTCATTTTACACCTCTGGAATGACCAGCGGTGTTGAACATTTTTTCATATATTTATCTGCCATTTCTACTTCTTTGTCTGAGAAGTGTCTATTGATTTCAGATGCCCATATTTTGATTAGGTCTTTAAATTTAGGAAGTATGATATTTTTTGAGTTCTTTGGGGGCCGGGGATTTAGCTAAGTGGTTCTGGTGCCTGCCTCACAAGCACAAGGACCCGAGTTTGATCCCTGGTACAGGGGTGGGGGTGACTTGAGTTCTTTATGTATTCTAGATATTAATCTTTTGCTGGAGGAATACCTGGAAAAAAATTTTTTCCCTCCCTGTGGGTTGTCTCTTCACTCTGTTGGTGGTTTCTTTTGCTGTGTAAAAGCTTTTTAATAAGATGAGATCCTAGTTGTTGACTGTTTGTGATATATTTCTGGTGCAGTTGGGATTTTGTTCATGAAGTCTCTGCCTACACCTATGTCTTAAAGAGTTCTACCTAGTCTCTTCCAGAAGATTTAGTGTTTCTGTTTTAATATTTAGATCTTTGATCCATTTGGATTTTACTTTGGTGCATGGTGAGAGATATGGGTCTAGTTCCAGTCTTTGAAATACGGAAAGCTAGCTTTTCCAGCACCATTTATTGAAGATGCTATGTTTCTTCCAGTGAAGGTGTTTTGGCCCCTTTCTCAAAGATAAGGTGGCTGAATCTGTTTGAAGTTGTTTCTGCATCTTTGAATCTGTCCCATTGATCCTCGTGTCTGCTTTGGTTTGGTTTGGTTTTTCCAGTAGTGTTCTGTTTTTATCACAGTACCTTTGTAGGATAATTTCAAGTGAGTGCCTTTGTGGCCCAGGCTTGTTTTTGCTTTTGTAGGTCTGTTCTGATCCCAAATAAGTTTTAGGATTGTTTTTTCTAATTCTCTGAGGTATGCTATCATTATTTTGACCAGGATTGCATTAAATCTGTAAAACAACTTTGGGAGTATGTCCATTTTTCACTATATTGCTTCTTCCTACCCAACAACAAGGGATATTTTTCCATTTTCTGATATCCTCTTCAATCTCCTTCTTCAGAGTATTGTAGTTTTTAGTGTAAAGGTCTGTTACTTCCTTCATTAGGTTGATTCCTAAGTATTTCTTTTTTCCTTTTCTTTCTTTTTCTTTTCTGTCTTTTTCTTTTTTTCTTTCTTTTTTTTTTTTTTTTTTGATGCTATTGTAAAAGGTGTGGTTTCCCTGATTTCTCTCTGAGTGAGTTTATTATCTGTGTACAGGAATGCAGTTGATTTTTGAGTGTTGACTTTGTATCCAGCTATGCTACTGAATTTGGTTATAAAACCCAGGAGTCTTTTGGTGGAAATGAAAATTTGTATAAAACCCAGGAGTCTTTTGGTGGAACTTTGGGGGCCTTCTATGTAGAGTATCATGTCATCTGCAAATAATAATTGAACTGCTTTCTTTTCTATCCTTATTCCTTTTATTTCTTTCTCTTGTCTGATTGCTCTGTTTAATGTTTCCAGAACTATATTGAGAAAGAGGGGTGAAAGTGGACATCCTTGTCTTGTACCTGATTTTAGAGTGAAAGCTTTCAGTATGGTGTTGGCTGATATTTTGTCATAGATGGCTTCTATCAGATTGAGATAAAGACCACCTACTCCAATTTTCTGTAGGGTTTTTAAATCATGAATGGGTGTTCGACTTTGTCAGATGCCTTTTCTGCACATATTGAGATGATCGTGTGGTTTTTGTCTTTGGCTCTGTTAGTATGATATATTACATATATTGATTTGCGATTGTTGAACCATCCCTGCGTCCCTGGGATGAATCCTACTTGATCCTGGTGCATAATCTTCCTGATGATTTGCAGCATTCTGTTTGCCGGTATCTTATTGAGGATTTTTGCATCCATGTTCATTAGGGAGATTGGCATGTCATCCTCTTTTTTTGGTTGGATCCTTCTCTAGTTTTGGTATCAGGGTAATACTTCCTTCCAGGAAAGAGTTTGCGAGTATTGCTTTTCTTTCAACTTCATTAAAGAGTTTGAGGAGTATGGTGTTAAATCATCTCTAAATCTCGTAGAATTTGGCAGTGAATCTGTCAAGGCCTGGGCTTTTCTTTGTTGGTAGTTTTTTAATTACATCATTGATTTCACTGAGCGATACTGGGTTATTTAGAATCTTTATATCTTCTTGACTCAGCTTTGGTAATTCATACATATCTAGGAATTTGTCCATTTCTTCTGTGTCTTCCATGTTATTAGAATACAGGTTCTCCAAGTAGGTATCAATGATCTTCTGGATTTCTGCAAGATACATTGTGATTTTTACCCTTTTCATTCCTAATTGCATGGCTTTGAATCTTTTCCTTCCTTCTTTTTTTTTTGGACAAGGTTGGCTAAGGGATTGTCAGTTTTATTCAACTTTCCAAAGAACCAACTCTTCCATTCATTGATTCTTTGTATTGTTTTCTTAGTCTCCATTGCATTAATCCCTACTCTGATCTTTATAATTTCCCCCCTCAAATAAGTTTTGGTTTTGGTTTTGGTTTTGGTTTTTGGGTACCAGATTTCAAACTCCTCATATGAGTTTTGGGCTTGACTTACTCTTCTTTTTCTAGACACTTGAGGTTGAACATTAGGTTGTTCATTTGAGCTCGTTCTGTTTTCCTCATATGCATATTCACAGCTATAAATTTCCCTCTTAGACTGCTTTCATTGCATCCCATAAGTTCCAGTATGTTGTTTTGGCGTTATCATTTAATCGTAGAAACTGTCTGATTTCTTCTTTAATTTCATCTGTGACCTGTTGGTTGTTGAGAAGGGTGTGATTTAGTTTACATGGGCTTACAAAGTTTTTGTGGTTTCTTTTGCCATTGGTTTCCAGTCTCATTATGCTGTGGTCTAATAATATGCATGGGATAATTTCAATTCCTTTGCATTGGCTTAAGCATGTTCTGTGAGTTAGTATGTGGTCTATTTTGGAGAATGTCCCATGTGCAGCCGAGAAGAATGTGTATTCTGATCTTGTGGAGTGGAACACTGTAGATATCTAAGTCTATTTGTTCAAAAGTTTGGTTTGGTTGTGGTATTTCTTTGTTGGATTTTTGTCTAGTTGCTCTATTTGTGACAGTGAGGTATTGAGGTCCCCTATTGCAATTGTATTAGTACATA